TGGGAAAACTAATCGCCTATTTTCCTTTTATATCTCACAAACTGCACAGAAAATGACGCATACTAAAACTCCTTTTACTGAGCCGTTGCTTAGCACCAATAGCAGGATACGTATACAGACACAGGACTCCATTATTCTGACTTTCATGAATTAGTGGGGATACACAGACAGAAAGGTGATCTAATAAGCCTCTTTTTCTTTTAAAATTATGGAAAGTATGCTACATAAATATATACATACATTCATATTGAATACCTATATCAGCTGGGCACTGAAATGTATTATGTCCATGAACACAAATATTCAGGAAACTGGATATCAAATTGGGGAATCAACTGCAGTTTAAAATGTGACTTAGAACAAAACACATTCTGAAACCTCACATCTGCAAATAAAGATGAACCTATGAAATATGTGGAGACAGTGCAACACAATATGAAGAACGAGAAAACTGCATTATCTCATTTTCACGCAGAAGTAGAGACACAATACTCCAATATTCAGGTGACGGTATGTCTTTCTTTGTGCCCATATGGGCCAAGATATGTCCTTCACTATGAGGGAAACCACACTAACAAAAGTCAAAATTATAAAATACTAATAATGATGATAACAATGCATAAGAGATACTTGTGGAAGAGATGGAAGATGAACTACTGTTGACAATTCTACCAGTATTATGTTACTGTCTAGTGGAGCCTGAATGTGCTGAAATACCAAGACAATTACCACAGAAATAATTAAAATACACAAAATTCTTCACATATTACTTAATTGTGGTACTGGTGACATGTATTATACAATCAAATGTATAATTTCATCTTGACAGAAATAAATTTTCAAGAATGTTATAGAGGTTCAACATGGGTCAGCTAAAAGGTAAAACAGTTTTGCTTTGTTTAACCTGGTGTTTTGTATGATCTCTCATACAAACGGAAAGCACCCAGACCAAGGAAGTGTGAGAACTGGATGTTGAAGAGAATATCTGGACAAGAGAACACACATTTGGAGGATGGAAAAAATTGCATGAAGACATTCTTAATAATCTGTACTATTCATCATTAGGATCATCATATCAAGGGCACTGAAATGGGCACATCATGTGGATCCCATAACAATGATGAGAAATGCATAAAATTCTGGTCAGAAAGCCTGAAGGAAGAAGTCTACTTGTGAGACCTAGGCATAGATGGGAGGACAATATTAAAATGATTCTTGAGGAAACAGGAATGAGGATGTGGACTTGTGTCATCTGTCTTAGGAAGGTCCAGTGATGGACTATATGGCATTATCCCATGACTAAGAACACCACACAGACTTACTTTCTGTTGCAGTGATAATAAAATTACAAACTGCATAAGTATATAATTCTGGTTAACACAAAATGCAATCTATTTCTAGTAGAAGTAAATTCATGTGCCATTACCATCACCAGAAAAAAAAAATTAATTATACAAATATCTATTTTTGGCATGCACATATATCTGAATTGTAAATCACTTTTAAAAATGGTCACTTCAAAAACAGGAATACAGATATAGAATGTGGCTCTTAGGGGAACAGGCTGCAGTAATGTGGGCTGGACTGAGCTGGCTAAGAATAGGGTGACAGACAATGTTTTGATGAAATCTGCCAACCAGTAATAAAGAGATGCTAGCTACAACTTTGATCTAAAAGAAAATTATGGTTTCACAGCACCTGCCTGTCAAAACACAGTGGGACATTTGCACAGAGAAGAGTGTGTCAGGTCACTATAATTCTGTGAAGGAGTAAAAAAACATACAAGGCATCAGCATATGGAACACAACATGCTTGTAAAATGAGTGACAGCAACTCTGGCACATAGCTCACACTCATGAAACTAAACAGACTAATTAAAATGTGTGTAAATGATAACTTCAGTAAAGTCTGTAAAGATGAATATTTGTCTGATGCAGTTGCTTTTCAGTACAATTTAAAACAAAGTGCAGTTTCAGTGCCACTGCTTTTAAAGTTTGCTTTTGAATACATTACAGAGCTCCAAGGAAACCAGGAGGGTCTGGAATTTATGGGACACATCAGCTTCTAGTCCATAATGATGTTAATTTATTGTATAATAGCATAAGTACTGTATGAAAAAAGCACAGAAGCCCTACCTACAAGAAAACGAATGAAGGAAAAAATCATAACATAGGGATAAATAACGAATCTTTGTTGGATTTGAGTCAGTCAGAGCAGAGATTATGAACCATACTGGCTCTCAGTAGTAGTGCCATGTAGTCGGGCACAAGTTCAAAATACATGGCATTACATCCCAGAAGCCAGCATACTTTAACTAATAAACTCTCAAAATATGTGACAAAGGTCATATGGGAATAAGGGCAATAAATGGAACCCTTGTTCATAAAGAATTAAGAACAGATTAGGGCCGCGCCATAGCTCAAGCGGTTAGTCACTGGCTTCCCACAGCAGCAGCCCGGGTTTGATCCCGGGTCTGGTCAAGTGGGATTTGAGGTGGACAAAGTGGCACTGGGGCAGGTTTTCTTTGAGTACTTCGGTTTCCCCTGCCAATCTTCATTCCACCAATTGCTCCACAATCACCCTCACCTATCATCTAGGGTTGGTACAATAGAGGAGAAGTGGCTGCAGTACAAGGGACTTAGTTCCACCCCACTAGCAAAAAAAAAAACAGATTAAATCTGGATAATGCTTGTGATTGTTCATTTCAGAATCTTTTGTTCTACATTATTTTATCTAGAAATGTAAAGATTAAGACATACAAACTATAATGTCACCTCTCACTTTGTATAATGTGCATAATGTAAAAATTAGTTTGCCCATTAAGGGAACAATACAGGTTCTCAAGGTATTATTAAGCTGTTAAGTTATTTAATCTACATACAACAATATTTTATGATGTCTGGACTGAAAATTCTATATGCTAAATGCTAAAATATAATATTACCAACAGAATGAAGATGTTTGACAAAAGGGTGGTGATCCTAAGAGGGAAGAAGCTGTTCTTGTGCTTGATTAATTAAGCACTATGTCATGAAGACATACAGGGGAGTGGAGTATAGCTCCACCATTCTTCACCTCGGCACTAGATAGAGATTAGGGGTCACCTTCATGCCCCATCCACTTTACTCCTAGGGAAAGGGCCTCAGTACCCACTGGATAGGAGGCTGAGTGGACCCCACAGCCAGTCTGGACACAGTGGAAAAGAGAAAAATCTTGTCCCTGCCAGGAACGCTACCCTGGTCATCCAGAAGAACTGACAGGAGGCTGGAGAAAATTTCTTGACAAAGAACTTCATGATTTGTACTATTCACTGAATATTATTAGGATGATCAAATGAAGGTCATTGAGATTAATGAGGGTAGGAGATAAATTCATACAAATTTTGGTCAGTAAACATAAAGAGAAGAGGCCATTTGGAAGATATAGGTGAAGATGAATGGATAATATGAAAATTAACAGATGCATGGGGTTTGGAATGGATTGACCTAGCTCAGTATAGAAATGAGTGGCAGGTTCTTGTAATGAACCTCTCAGCCCCTTAAAAGACAGGGAATACCTTGACTAACTGTATGAATCTTAGCTTCTGAAAAATATATATAGGAATTATGTCTACCATTTATCTGAAACACACAACAGGATGCAACCAATGAAGAAACTCAAAAATGACTCTGCTCCATGATGTTAGTTCATTATAAATGAAAGACATACCCCTCAAAATCTAGGTGAGTGGTGGGAAAAAATTCCTCTGCCTGCCAATTTATACTCCTTTACCACAACACTGACATGAACAAGTCCAGTCTAGTATCACTCAGAGATACGAAGTTTGAAGCTGGTATGCTGTACTGATAAAATAAATGCTAGTACTTGTTGTGAATATGCTAAACCATATGATGTTACAAGATGAATACAATACGGAAATAATTACACATAACATTCCTAGATTTGTTACATGTTTCCTTGCATGGTTGTTTTAAAGAGTTTATTTTTGCAATATGCTATATTTTTGGTTTACAATACAGAATAGTATATATAAATTGGAAAACAGTACCAAAGAACTGCATGTTAGTAAAGGTACGGATTAATACCGACACAATATACCAATTTACCACCTGACAGTACCATAATAAAGAAAGGTAACACTATATTAGGTTCCACTCCTCCTTTGCCTTGGAAGCTTCAAGCCTCAGGCAAGAGAGCACGTATCCTGACGGGATTTCAAGCAATTATCACACACAGAACACAGATATATGTCTGTCTCTGTATACAATTCAGTATTCAATTAGGATTATCCCCCATCCATGGTGACCCAGAATGTGCTCAATATTTTAAATGAAGGAGAAACTTGGACAAGGGAGTTAAAAACAATATAAAGAAGGATAAAAAGAAATACATTTCATAACTAATGAGAGTAATAAAATTAGTGTTACAGTTTGCAAACTATTAACTGTAATAATCCTGAACTGTCACAACAAAAAATGGGATATACCTATTGAAACTAGACACAGAAATAACACTGAGCATGAGAGACAGTGATAACCTAACCTCAAAATTGAACTGGACAATATAGTCATAGTACGTACACAGAAACTTATTAAGTCAGCTTATGCCAGACATTCAGGGTTTATCCACACAAATGAGACTGCTCCAAGGAGCAGTATAAGTAAAATATGCAAACCACTTCCTTCATTCATGATCACCACTAACTATGGAAAATTACTTTCACCTTCATGTTTTATGTAACAGACGACTTATATACTCACCAGAGGTTCTAATATTCTATTTGGCTCCAGAACTATACTCTATAAGAGTGGACGAAAACCATATACTTATTTCTAACATTTTCAAGATGTTTCAGTACTCCCACATTTATACAAATTCATTTGATGGTTTAAACATATTGCATTAAGTCGCTCCGGTAAAATGACCACATGGTAAGCAACAGACTATAAAAACTAAAAATTAAAGACTACTTCCCATAAGTTAAAGAGACCGGGGCTTACCTTGCACATGACGATATACTTCTAGGAACAGATGAGTCAGGCATTATAGTGAGTGGGAAGATCACAAATTTAATCACACAAGAGCACCACCATAAAAAACTACAAAACGTAACACATTCTATAAGCCGTATCACATTAATTATAATAAAATACAATTTCGAACCACGCTGGGTGGACGATTCTGCCTCCACGGAACCGAAACATGTGACAGTCGTCTTCCGCAGAGATCCAACCAATAGATAAAAATTGTTCCTTTCTACCGAAGACGTATAAAATACCGCCAATTCAAATACCCCACAGTTCAGAAAATGAAATGGGTCCGTATCGTGTTTGACAGAAGACGAATTAGTTAAAAAAAATTAACTCCGCCCATAATGAAATAGTCTTTTTTACCCGGCACATTCCAGTAATTGCTGACTTTTAGTCTACTTCCATTCCTTGAAAGGAAAAAGCACGTTTCCCTAGAGGCCAGTGGCGGGCTTTTGTGAACACGATAATGAACCTTAGAGTTCCATATAATGTTCCAGATTCTTGGGTGGACTCGGCTCCGCGAGTTAGATTTCTAAGATGGCTGCGTCATAGCTCAAGCGGTTAGTCGCTGGCTTCCCACCTCGGCGGCCCGGGTTCAATCCCGGGTCTGGTCAAGAGGGATTTGTGGTGGACAAAGTGGCGCTGGGGCAGGTTTCCTCCGAGTACTTCGGTTTCCCCTGCCAATCTTCATTCCACCAACTGCTCCACAATCACCCTCCTCACCTATCATCTGGGGCTGGTACAATAGGCCAGAAATGGCCGCAGTACAAGGGACTTAGCCCCACCCCACTAGCAATAAAAAAAATAGATTTCTAAGATCATGCTTTCTGATAGACCTCAAAGGATTCTGACGATGGTGTATACTGTACTTTTTTTTGGACTTCATCCATCGTGTGGTATATAAAAGACAAAAGACCACGACGTTTCGGAGACTGGATCCGTCTCCTTCTTCAGGAGCTAGTCTCAATCACTGGACCAGCTCTTTCTAACGGACCCAACTGAGTAGGTTTATCCTACTCAGTTGGGAGTATCATGATTTTTGTTTGTCTATTCTAGCTGAAGAATAAGAAGATGGATTTTCACGAAACTTGGTATGCAAGTATGTCATTAGAGGCCTCACCAACATGATACGTTCAAATATTTTAGTCAGCAATAATAAGATGGTTGACGTGAAAACGTGTACGGCGAGTGTCATTAGCTCCATTTGCATTAAGGTCCTGAAGGGATGGTAGGTTTTAGAAAGACGTGCAACTTTTGTAAAATCTTAAAAAACATGACAGCCACACCAGCATTTTATTTGGCCTTCGATCTGATGGCGATAACTAGGGAGCCACTGAACTTAGGCATGTGGAATTTGGTACGGAGATAAATCATAAACATTCCTACGTACTGTGTATAAAATAGTGATTGAAAGTCAAGAGCTACAAATATGGCGATGATACGAAAGTTTGAAGTTATAATCGATAATTTTAACAGTTACAGAATCTGTATAATAACAATAATGTAGTTTTAATAGTTCTGCTAGATCCAGCGCAGTATGAAAGATATGGCCAGACTTCGTTGCTTATTCATGATCGCCAGTAAACTACTTTTTCATCAACTTTAAATTATACAGAAGAAATAAAAGAGAAACGTTAATTGTAACAATGAAAAGTTACGTAGTATAACTAATCGCTTTGACATTAAACATACATCCGTTCAAGCAGATGAGGTTAATAACACTATCGAACGATAATGACTTTGATACCGAGATAACATGCTTTACAAACGTGTGTATGAGGTCAAGGCGCTGAAAAAGCGGACTGGAAGGTTAAATACTGTAATTTGTAAAGTGGCAGAACACTATACACAAATATACATATTTGAGGGTTGCTTTCTAACACCAAAGATCCCTATGTTTAAGCACCGCTCCATTATGTCGTAAGGCGGAGTAGAGTTCAAGCTTCACATATTCTAAACCGGGGGGTGATCGGCCAATTTCAGGCTCCGGTCGCCCTAAAACCTAACGGAAGATTTCTCGGTTCCCATTAAATAGTAATCTGGATAGGGCGCAGAACCAGTCAGGACGCAGTATCGAAAAATGACTCCCCCGGCCAGCAATTGAGCCCTGGTTGTCCAACCTGTAGCCAGTCATTTTACTGAGCTATCCCGACGAATTTAGATCTTGTAGAAAACCGCAATATTTGAGGCGCGTTCTGGTATTTGATCTTGGTGTTTTATAAATATCAGGCAGTAGTCGTAACTTAAGTTGCGATTGTGGTGTCATAGTTTGTTTACACCGTGAACTGCTGTGAAATTAATAAATGGGATAGCTATGACTTTGTTGCCATATACACTTCCACGAAATTTTCGTGAGCTTACCGAAGAACAGGGTTTGTTCTTTCGAAGGAGCATTTTTTTATTGCTAGTGGGGTGGGACTAAGTCCCTTGTACTGCGGCCACTTCTGGCCTATTGTACCAGCCCCAGATGATAGGTGAGGGTGATTGTGGAGCAATTAGTGGAATGAAGATTGGCAGGGGAAACCGAAATACTCGGAGAAAACTTTCCCCAGCGCCACTTTGTCCACCAGAAATCCCACCTGACCAAACCCGGGCCGCCGAGGTGGGAAGCCAGCGACTAACAGCTTGAGCTAAGGCGCGGCCAAGTAAGGCGTAAATCTTCAATACAAACTGCATTATAACCTCAGGTATTGGTGCCGTGTTAATCTTATGTTCGTCCAAGCACCAAAATGATGTCAAGAAAAATTAACTGTTGTAACAGGCAATAGTTAATTGTCCAACATTGTATATTGTACTGAATGTTAAAACTGAACAGGTTCATACTTTGAGTTTTTCTCTTGAATATACTACAGCTGGAGGTCAAAGCACTACCCCCATTCTCTTCCTCTAGACATTTAAGGTAACATGGTTACCAAGAGAAAAACGGGGATTTTTAAATAAACAACATCAACAAAAAGTCGTGGTTGGGTGCTCCTCTGCCTACTAGGTTTCTGGACGTCCCACATTTGTCATTGTCTGGAGGCTTAGTATACTGAGAAGATAGTCTTCTGGTATGAAGTCCTATATGCCCGTAGAATGCTGGCAACCTTTTAGAGGAACCCGGAACCGCTACTCTTATCATCAGGGTCTTCTACCCTTCTACATAGCATCACATCCCACATGACAACATTCTTCAATCTTCCATTAGCTCTAAATTACTTCATAAGGGGCAATGCTGAGGTGATCTAGCACTAATGAACCTACAGTAATTTTATTACATTGGTTTCATTCAAGAAATTGATGTAATATGAACATAGCATTAGTTGGTTTTAAGAAAAGTACAGCAATGTGAGGATCAGACCCTACTATAAAAATATATAACATTTACTATTTTTTTTTAATTCACTTAGTGGGGGGTGGAGTCCAACTGGGTCCACTCGGCACAGCGGCCACTGATTGGCCTATTGTAGCCTGCCCCCAGGTGATTATGACGATAGAGAATTTGGTGGAATGAAGATTGACAGGGGAAACTGAAGTACTCAGAGAAAACCTGCCCCAGCACCACTTTGTCCACAACAAATTCCACCTGACCAGACCTGGGCAGCCACAGTGGGAAGCCAGCGACTAAACGCTTGAGCTATGGCATGGCCACATTTGCTATTTACGCCAATAGCCAGTATCACTAATCTAGTACCTAATACTAATCAGGTAATGCAAAGCCTTTATTTAGACTTTACAAAAGCGCCGATAAACAGAAAATTGTTCTAATGGACTGAAATTACTATTTCTGACATTATTAAGAATATTTTAGATAAATAGAAGGCCTTGCAATGAATGTTCTACCATCAACTGTTTTAGTCCAAGCCTTTCTGAAATATTTGGAACTAAAAAGTATGGCATTACTCACTTAACATCATATTTTTGGTGGGATACTTATAGATATGCAGATGACATTCCAAATTTCTACAACAGGAATACCATGGACACCACTGAAGTATTTAATGATATCCACTCTAAAGTATCCTATGGAAAACGAATTATACATTTCTTGGAGTTGGAAACAGTGAACAAAAGCAAAAAAAAATTTAGTATTAGGATACAACCTAGGACTACTCATCATATTATTCCTAATAGCTCCTGCTGCCCCCACAAACATAAATATATTGGAAAGGGTGTATGCTGTAATGTTGTACACAAAATTACCAATGGCATAATCTATTAAACATGCCTAGAAATAGGGACAATAAAATGCTAATTAGTCAAATGCTGTCATACAGAATTTCACCATAAACTGTGGGTTTATGGGATACATGGAAAATTCCATTTATGGCCCTATGCAAACTGGAAGTTTTCACTGACTTCTGGTGGAAATCTGCTACACCAAATTTTAACAAACTCCGTGGAGCAATTTATGGGATAAATGGAAAAGTTCATTTATGGCCTTGTTTAAACCAGGCTTTACTATGGATCAATATGGCTGAAAATTGCAATTTTGTGACACTTTTTGGTAAAAATCTCCCATGCTGAATTTGAAGTATATCTGTCCAGTGGTTCAAGCAGTGATACTAGGTCTCTGGCAGAAAGAGTGTCATGAGTACATGACCTTCACAGAAGACATTTTTTGTTTTGTAAAGTATTGTGGCATGCAGTCTAAAAGCCAGAATATCTGAGTCAAAGCGGGCACCCACTGTTAGGCAACGGCTAGGTATCCACAGTTCCACAGCATTGTGGGGATGACAATGAAACAGGTTGAAGCGACAAGGCATACACAAGAGACGTTACCACGAAAATGAAAAACCAGAACTAGTGAAGTTCCTGTGGCAATGAATACACTAGCTAACTAGCAAAGTTCCTGCTGCAACGGATATACTAGCTAACACGTGAAACAGAACCCTTGAACAAGGTGTCTTCTAGGACATCCAACTGTCAGTTATAACAGACCAAGTGAGGTCAGAACTGATATCAGAGAGAGAAGACTGGATTGCTGCACAGATCAAGAAGATGGGCTAGTCAGGTCACATTGTCTGCAAGATACATAGTATTTCAGGGTGATTGTAAGCGAAACTGTAAACGAGTTGTCCAATAAAACAGCTTTGTCTAATCCGCAACCCAGTAATTGTCACGGAACCCCGGACACGTGACAGCATGTTTAGAAAGGCAGCCACAATCTATGTGATAAACTGATAGATGGAGCATATATCTCATGCGTAATAATATAAAAAGAAAATGAATTAAAAACCATAAAGGAAATCTTAACCAAAATGTATTAAAGTGAACCTGTAAAACCCATGACGGTAACCGATTCACTTAAGAGTTCAGTAGTGTGCTGTTATGCAGTTCTTGGAACACCTGGTGACGATGTGTACTGAGGGACTGTCTCACAGATCAAACAAGGATGCAATATGTCACATAGGTGGTTACTGTAAAAATAAATAAATAGTACCATTGAGTAATAATATACCATGATACCACAATTCAAGATTACGATTCTTGTTGTCTCACCAGTTCAGAAACACTGATTACTGAATGTGATTATTCTCAACAAGACACACAAACACTGACATTCCAGCTCTTTGCTTTCACAGTGATCCTTAACGATTTAAACAGCACAAGTAATCAAGACATAAATAATTTTCAGGTGTATCTAACTGTCAGAAGCTTTCTTGCTTAATGAAGTATCAAGATTTACTTTAGGCAAACATAAAATTATAACAAGTGATCTGTTGGTGCAGAAGTACAGAACTGGATTGTTATTCAGAGCATGAATGTTATCTTGTCATACCATGGAGACAATGTAAAATGTGTTATTTATTTCATAAGAGTTCTACTAAAATAAAGATCAGTTCATATTTGTACATGGTACCAAGATATTTCAAACATTAAATGGAATGTTTCTTTATACATATAGACATATAAAAAGAGATTGATAAAACTGAATGACAGCGATGGGCCAATGCATGACATTCATGGAAGTCTACAGTTTATCCATCTTTCATTACATCAGTACTTTTGTAACAACATTCAAAAACTTTGTTCACAAAATATTACACACCTTAAACCAGCACAGAGACACCTTATTTGACCTTCCAAGTTAGTCTGCAGTATCTGAGGAGTTTTAAAAGTAAGCTTTCAAATCCTCTGAATTCCATATTACTCATAGAAAGAAACCATCCCACTGCTGTAATGAACCAAATTATTTTCTGCTTTAGCAAGAGTTCACTTCATAAACAAGAAACCTCTATCAATGATTCATCCTCACTTCAATGCTACAGCTCAGTTTGAGACTTTCTGTGAGGCTAAGCAACCGCTGGCTTCTTAAGGACTCAGCTCCATGGAGTTCGCTAGTTACTGACTACTAAGAGTAACTCATTCCCATTGTGCAAAACTGTGGGTCACAAAGCAAATCCATTAGGTAATAAATTCTTAAGCAGCTGATTTGCATGTGCTTGAAAATTTCCTTGTATATGATAATCCCCCATTCCAAGGAAACAATGATCAGTAGAAATTTATCTCTACATTATTCATTATACATTATATATTCATGCCAAAACAATCTTTAAAAAACAGGAAAAATACCATTCAAACCTTACTTGAGCCACAGTGATATGTACTACTGATTTTGAATGCCATAAATATGACTGAGCTGCTGAGGGTCAGCTGCAATTGTAAATGACAGACCAATCCTCTTGTCAGCCAGGGTGCCCCCACACAAACAAACCCACAACTGTCTGAGGGCAACAAAAATCTGGTCTGGGGCCCCAGGTGCAGCTTGACACCAAGATAGACTGGCCGACTGACCATCGGTCATAACGTAACTTTGACAGTGAATTTGAGATCATGAGTTACCATCATGGGTTAGATGTGCAGTAGTTGTCAGCTTGTGAGGACAGGAGCTGCTGAGCAACAGATACAGAAGACATTGCTGGGAACCATACCAGGTAATGCCTAGTGGAAATACAGAAGACTTAATGGGTGCTTTACCGAACTGTAAAGAGTGTGAATTAGTAACAGTGCTATAATTAATTGTAGTTACAATTTGTAAGAGTCAAATAAATCCAATTACCAATCCAAACCCCATGTCTAGTCAGGCTCAATTTCACTGTAGGAAGCACAAACTATGAAAGAAATAGTTCAATCCTATAGTGTTACTAAAGAAACATGTTCCAAATTATTTCAGAGTTGATGACTGGTCCTTTACAGATACCTTAAGTCCTTTCCCATCTGTATGGGGTGGAGGCCCCTGATGCCTTGTTTACTCAGCTTCCAAATCTGTCTGGTGAGGACTACCTGCACAAGTGTCTTACAGGTTTTGTTCCTTGCCTTCCTCCCTCACCTCATTATAATCAGAATCAGACACTTCATCATTTGCATAGGAGTTACTATGTACGAGTAACATCAGTTCAGTTTCCATTTCTGTGAACATCGAACTGCATTCCTGTATTTAAACATCCTGATGCAAGCCATATTAAAACTTCTATGTGTAACACAGTCTGTCAATATTGCAACAAATTGTTCCCTTTTCTTCCACTTACACTTTTAACACAACATGTTTTGGCCCTAGATGGCCATCGTCAGGTGTCTTACTATATGAAAACTGCTACACTGTATTAATATGTGCTAAAATCACACACTGTAGTCCACTTAATACAATAAAATAAAGTAAAATCCATTAAAATTTTCATTACTTTTCTGAAATTCTATTCCACCTGACAAGGTGTGTCATCCACTTGTTTAGAACTATATGTTTATCTCCAGGTGTTTTATTGCAGCAGCTTATGTTTATATTAGTTAGCCTGTTGTTCTGCTATGTCTGCCATCTGTAATACACCCCTTACTTGTGCGTTGTTTCCTCTAGCAGCGTATGCTGTTGTCTTCACTAGTGCACTAGGGCACCAGTAAAGACAACACAACACCACACTAGTATACCAATGAAGACAACACAACACCACACACTGCTAGAGGGAACAACGCAAAAGCAAGGGGTATATTACACATTGCAGACGTAGCAGAATGGGCTACCGAACTTAAACAAGCTGCTGCAATAAAGCACCTGGAGAGAAACACGTAGTTCTAAACAAGTGGATGACACCCCTTGTGAGGTGGAATAGAATTTCACAAAAGTAAGGAAAATTTTAATGGATTTTATTTTATTACATTAAGTGGACTACAGCATGTCATTTTAGCACATATTAATGCAGTGTAGCAGTTTTAATTTATGAGGAGACCTATGGCCAAAACATGTTGTGTTAAAAGTGTAAGTGGAAGAAAAGGGAACAATCTCTTGCACTGTTGATGGACTGTTACACACAGACATTTTAATCAAACTGCATCTTGAAGTCACTGTATTCAGGGCTGATGAAAAAATACTTTGGAATTATAAATATGTCTGCATTATAGTACAGCCATCCCACTTATCTTTGATCTCATTCCCCTAATTTATAAGTACTATATCAGCTCTCTGCAAGCAGATGTTCTGCATCACAGCACATGCAAGCAAGTGCTTTGAATGCTGTTTATTTTTTGGTGATGTCACAAATTCACAAAAGGAGTCAATACCAGAATGTTCTGCCGGTATACTGTCACAAAGCATTTATGGCTACTGAAACATCCTGTAACGTGTCTGGAATCCAGAAGAGTCACTTCTAGGGAAACGCTAGAATAGACCGTTGCATAGGAAACAACAATCGCTCTATTGTAGTTCTAACAGGAGTCTCCATGGTTATAACAGAGGGTTCATTTGCATAGCAGCGGCCGAGGTTATAAAACGGGGTTGAATGCATTCGAACAGTTAGTCTGGATCCAACCGCCAAAGAAGACAGTCCAGTATTGCCGAGATATTGTAAGCAGTAATTGTAACACTGCAACAGCTAATGATTGTAAGGTGTGTAAGGTGAGTGAGTGGAATAAATTCGCTATATCTAATACGGCGTAAAGTTATTTGTAGCATGACATACCACAACACGCTACAATACTGTTAATGTTCCATACTGGGATGATAAAGGTTAAAATACTAATCAAAATATTTTTTAGGAGCGACATAACAGTTCAAAATTAGAAAATTAATGTAAATCAGGTTTGGATGCCAGTGCCCTTACCACAAAGCTACTCCCACGTGAAATTATAGAAGATATAAAATAAGCGGTACCTTGTACAGTAATACAGCTTGTTATCACTGTTCATAAGTAACATATTGCATGTCTCTTTACATCAAAACCACATACAGCTCTTTTGCTCACTTCATATGCAGTACTACAAATTTTGTTATTTTCTAACTTTGCTTTGTTTTTCTTTCAATAGATATGGTTCATAACAATGTTAATAGTCAACACCTATAACTGATGAGTTCTTCATAACAATATAGAACTGCATGGCCCATCACTTACTTCCAGTAGAAGTGTGATGTACAGTGATGTACATGGCAAAATGCGTACAAGCAAACTCCTCTTAACAATCTCAAAACCAGCCATACTGTGCCAAACTGTTAATCAAAATCCAATGAAGAAATTTATATCCCGCAGTAATATAAAGAAAACTAAATAGACAAAAGAATGAGATATTATTTTCTTAGTTTAATACAGGGACACAAAAGTATTACTACTATATCTGGGATCAACCAAATTAGGAACTTTGGTTATACTAAAAACTTCATAATATTACACATTAATTCTTGTACCTGTAATTTCTGAATTTTTTTCCTTCATGAAATGGTGTGACAATTGGGGACATGAGTGGGGGGGTGTATTGTTATGGCCTGGTAACTGCAACTGTAATTCAGCGGTTTGTTATATCTTGTGGGGAAAGAGGGTAGGCAGGCCCATACTGTACTCTGTTCACTTACATTCCATCATTACTGCAATCAAAGTCACAGTGATGAAACTTCACCAGTATCAGTCCTATCAAATAATTCTGAATGCTGTTGCAATTATTAAGCCAAACCTCAAATACAAAGATTAATAATTTCCTACGAGACTCAACCAGTTCAGAGAAAAAGGGATAACCAACATATACTCCCACTAAATTGTAACATTAAATGGAATTTCTATTGTACACTGCAATGGTCCACATTACACCAGCCCAAGGTTCTTTGATATAAAGTTCCTATCTGCTAATTTGCAGAATACATATGTATAGATAATGGAAGACCACAATGATTAAAGGGAGCACAAATTGATATTATGAAAATTTAAAACAAATTATATATATATATATATCAGAATTTTACATAGGGGTCATTTAAATAATTTCATACACAATTAAAAACCGTAATATGTGAGATTTTGTGTGCTAATGAGGAGACTTCATGTTCACAAGGTTCCTTGTCAGTAAATACATCAACTAATATAAAGTGGGATTAAAGTAAAAACAGATCTCTTCAGAGTATTGTCTTGTCATGAGTCAGCTCACATAGCCTGCTCATGATGTGGCACCTTCTCCCGTACTGGACTTGGAGATGGGGAAGTGCCTGACAGCATGGTAGGAGTGGCACTCTTGGAACGTCTATGTCGTAACGACGTGTATGGAGAGCTCCCACGAGAAAAGTGCTCATGGGCATACAGAAGTACACCTATGTCTCTATTTCCTGCATCCATTGCAATGTTTAATGCTGTACTGCCATCCTACAATAGAAAATATTTATTAGTAGCAAACATACTCTGAATCGCCAGGTAGTGATCAAATTCCGGCAGAACTTATCCAAGCAGGAGGAGAAATATTATGTTCTAAGATCTACAATCTAATTACTTCTATTTGGCATAAGGAAAAATTGTCTGTTCAGTGGAAGGAGTCTATTATTGTACCAGTGCACAAGAAGGGTGATAAAACTGACTGTAGTAATTATCGGGGGACATCACTGCTATCAACTTCATATAAAATTCTGTACAATATTCTTCTTTCAAGGTTAAGGCCATATATAGATGAAATTGTTGGGGAACATTTGTGTGGGTTTTGACGTAACAGATCAACTACAGATCACATCAGATATTCATAGACTTCAAGAAAGCCTATGATACAGTTATGAGGGAAGTATTGTACAATATTCTAATAAAGTTTGGGATACCAATGAAACTAGTTAGGTTGATTAAAATGTGTTTAAACGAAACGTACAGTAAAGTCCGTGTAGGTAACC